CGAGCCTGCCCTCTGAGCCAAACCTGAAGACTCCCTCTGGTTTCCCATGCAGCTCTGGACCAAGAGCTGGAAACTCAAACCCAAGGTCAGCTCCCACCTGAGAAGCAAGACGCTGAAACAGCTTGCGGACTCTGCAACCAAACCTTCTCCAGTTCCAACAACCTTCCTCTCCAAGCCTCATTCAAGGACCCACAAGGTACAAGCCAGAAACAATCCTAAAGACAAGTTCCTAAGTGCTCCGCTAACTAAACTGTCCTCCACACAGACTCCGGTGTACCAGTCTCCCTGGACCAGAACCAGAACCCGTTTCATTGTGCTTGTGAACAATAAACTCTGTTAAACTTTTAAAACTGTTTCCGTCTAGTGGTGTTCTGCATCATTGGGTCACATTAGAGAACCAATCATGACATATAATTTACAGAGAATTCAGACACATTTGTACAAAACAGTGCATGGCGCATAACAGCTTGAGACGTGTCATTTGGTATCCTGACTGTAAGACGACTAAGCTCAGGATCAAATGGAAAAACAGGAAATGAGAAATCATGCTGGTTTGGTGTCTGTCTCTAGCAGACACTGGTTAAGAGGTGGGATAAACTTTGGACAGGTCATCAGTCCATCACAGCCAAAACAGATTTATAGAGGACAAACACATGCACACACATACGAGGACACACTCAGTCCACAATGTGGAATATGGTAGAGAAGCCTTGTATGCATGGGGGAGCATGCAACATCCATTTAGAAAGAGGTTTCAACCACAGACCTTCTTCCTACATTAATTAAATTAATACTTTTATTAAGTGATTTAGTCACTGTATATACCTGAATACATTTCAATAACAAATGAGTAAATATCTCTATTTGCAGGGAACTGGTGTTGGTGGAACAGCAACAGAGATTCAGTGCTGACATGGCTGGTAAAGTGAAGGCATTACAGGCAGTAGCCACATCATCTGACATCACTGATCTGCACTTTTATCAACTTAGATCTGAAATGAAGCACTTCTTCTACATGTTTAACAACTTATATCACAGAGTGTAAAGCATTCAACAAAACTCTACTACTATATATGTGTGAGAAAATCATATCTGATTTGTCGAGATTCACTTCTTATTGCTAATGAAATAAAAACTCAAGCTAAATATGGCTTTCGTATTATGCAAAGGTTATATGTTGAGACAGTAATCCATAGATAGTTTATCAATATGCTTTATGATTAATATGTCTTTATTTAGGAACAGTCAATTTTAAAATCTCACATCGAGCTACTTAGAAAAAACAACTTATTTTAAAAAAGATCCATTCCAATAAGAAAGCATCCTAATTGCATTATTTTTGAAAATATATAAGATCAAATTAGTTTGAACCTCTTGAAGAAGTTCATCAAACTCAGGATTCTGTTACCATGAAAGATAAGGCTTTATAAACTGAGCATTATCAACTGTCAAAATGATCAATGAGACGTTGTAATATCCCACATTAGAAAAATAAAAGCACCTTGTGACGAGATAACAAACAGTTAAATTAAAAGACAGCAAAAGGTCCTAAACCAGGTTAAGAAAAGTCCAAAGCATTAATCAGATCAATGATCAATGATAATTTCTTATTTGTTTCTTTTAATTAAAGAATAGGCTCTGTTAAAATATTGTAGTAATTACAGTAAAAGCAAAGCAAACTGCTTTCTAGAAAGCTCTATAAAAGAACTGTGGTGAGATGCAGAAAACTGAAACATGATTAAACATTAATAAATACAAACATCCTCACTTTTTATTTCATGTTTGAAAGCAGGACCATGTGCAGAAGTTACTATCATAATATTTATCAATCTAAACTTTTCTGTGGTGTACCACAGGGCTCCATTTTAGAGTAACTAGTCTTGTTCTTCTATGTTAATGAAGAGCCTGAAAGCTCTTCACATCCTAGGAGGCAATGTTGGCATATATGTGACTGCACAGACTCCACATAGGGAAGCAGAGGTGTGTGGGAGTTTTTCCTGTTGTTATTGATTAGAGAAAAATCAAGAAAGATGAGTTCAAGGATCCTGGTACAGGACTGGGTACTCAACTTACATTTGAAGCCTATAGTAGGAAACTGCCAGGAACTGTTAAAGGTTATTTTGGATGCTCAAATGTTATCTTTTAAATTTGCATAATCTGATTTTTCTATATAATGACCAAGCCAAACTGAAGTCTCTGATGTCACTGTACAAATAAGCTTTGAATTTTGGATATTAGTAAAATCCTAAACCAGTATAATACATAAATTAAATATTTCAATTGTAATCCTGACTTTTAAATGTGTTGACCGCAAGATGTAAAACAACAAGTTTAAAGGATGAGCAAAAAGAAAGAGAGGTGTTAAGGGAGACATGACTAGAGACATCTTCTTGATGACCATTTTTATTTTATTTTAGGGGCCATAGATGTAAATGTAAATTAGCTTCTCAATGGTATCAAGGAAGCAAAATGACTTAAGAGTGAAAAAACAAATGAAAAATTAAGATGGAAAAAAACTAAACAATGTTAAAATAGAACTGGTCTCACAACATGAAGTTTGAAAAAAAAAAAGAAAAGTGAAAAAAAGAAAACAGTGCTGTGATTATTTTGTACTAAAAATCATAGTTACACAATTTTCATCAAACGATTTACCTTTAAAAAAGTAATACATACTCAGAACGTCTAGACAAGTGCAGAGTTAAAGTATTAATTTCACTGAAAACTAAGTTTAGAAATGTTTTCAAACTGGGAAGGTCCCAAAATATAATCATATTTAGTTTCATTTTTAATGCAAACGTGGACATTTATGCTACATTTTTAGTATTTGTGCCGATCTAAGAAAGCAAAGAGGCTGAGAGACTATGCAGACAATGTCTTTCCAGGTCATGCAGAGACTGTCTTTCCAGGTCAAACAGAGGCTGTCCTTCCAGGCCATGCAGAGACTGTCCTTCAAGGCCATGTAGAGGCTGTCCTTCCAGGCCATGCAGAGGCTGTCCTTCCAGGCCATGCAGAGACTGTCGTTCCAGGCCATGCAGAGACTGTCGTTCCAGGCCATGCAGAGGCTGTCCTTTCAGGCCATGCAGAGGCTGTCCTTCCAGGCCATGCAGAGGCTGTCCTTCCAGGCCATGCAGAGGCTGTCCTTTCAGGCCATGCAGAGACTGTCGTTCCAGGCCATGCAGAGGCTGTCCTTTCAGGCCATGCAGAGGCTGTCCTTTCAGGCCATGCAGAGGCTGTCCTTTCAGGCCATGCAGAGGCTGTCCTTTCAGGCCATGCAGAGACTGTCGTTCCAGGCCATGCAGAGGCTGTCCTTCCAGGCCATGCAGAGGCTGTCCTTTCAGGCCATGCAGAGGCTGTACTTTCAGGCCATGCAGAGGCTGTCCTTCCAGGCCATGCAGAGGCTGTCCTTCCAGGCCATGCAGAGGCTGTCCTTCCAGGCCATGCAGAGACTGTCGTTCCAGGCCATGCAGAGACTGTCGTTCCAGGCCATGCAGAGGCTGTCCTTTCAGGCCATGCAGAGGCTGTCCTTCCAGGCCATGCAGAGGCTGTCCTTCCAGGCCATGCAGAGGCTGTCCTTTCAGGCCATGCAGAGACTGTCGTTCCAGGCCATGCAGAGGCTGTCCTTTCAGGCCATGCAGAGGCTGTACTTTCAGGCCATGCAGAGGCTGTCCTTTCAGGCCATGCAGAGACTGTCCTTCCAGGCCATGCAGAGGCTGTCCTTCCAGGCCATGCAGAGGCTGTCCTTTCAGGCCATGCAGAGACTGTCGTTCCAGGCCATGCAGAGGCTGTCCTTTCAGGCCATGCAGAGGCTGTACTTTCAGGCCATGCAGAGGCTGTCCTTCCAGGCCATGCAGAGGCTGTCCTTTCAGGCCATGCAGAGACTGTCCTTCCAGGCCATGCAGAGACTGTCCTTTCAGGCCATGCAGAGGCTGTCCTTCCAGGCCATGCAGAGGCTGTCCTTCCAGGCCATGCAGTGGCTGTCCTTTCAGGCCATGCAGAGGCTGTCCTTTCAGGCCATGCAGTGGCTGTCCTTTCAGGCCATGCAGAGGCTGTCCTTCCAGGCCATGCAGAGGCTGTCCTTTCAGGCCATGCAGTGGCTGTCCTTTCAGGCCATGCAGTGGCTGTCCTTCCAGGCCATGCAGAGACAGTCTTTCCAGGCCATCCAGATACTGTCTTTCCAGGCTATGCAGAGACTGTCCTTCCAGGCTATGCAGATACTGTCTTTCCAGGCCATGCAGACAATTTCCTTTAGGACATTTAAGGTTGCGGAATAGGTTACCGACAGGCAAATGGCACAAAATAAAGGTTGAAACGCGGGTGAGCAAGCAGGAGTGCGCCACTTATTAGCCGGAAGGAGTTCGTCTTGTAGTTATCTCATTTAATTTCTTGATTAAAATAAGATTCTTTAAATTTTACCTTTTAACATTTTACATCTTCGATGCCTATCTGGGCTGCAAGATTAGCCGTCAGAGTCTGAGCACAGGACAGTGTTATTTTTTTCTCTACCTGCTTTTATCATGTTTTTTTTACTTGCTTTTATTCTGCTTTTTTGTGGTCCAATTGTTTTATTTGTTTTACAAATGTTTTTTCTTTTATTGTGCTTTTATTTTTCCTATTTTTTATTATCTATTTCATGCACTGAATAGTCTGTATGTACTGAATTGTGCTATACAAATAAAATGACCTTGCCTGGCCTTAATGTTGTAGTAATATTATTATTATTATTATTATTATTATTTTCACTTATGCAGTGTTGGAATGGTATATTAGCGTTTTGCAAGTGATCTTTAAACCAACGTATCTTTTTTGAAAATCTTTTAGGAAACTGATTATTGGTATTGTCTGCATAAGAAACAGGTGAAAATAAAAGATGCCTCCTTCAGAGTAATGTTTAAGATGGTCATAAGCATATCAAGTATTTTCCGCCGCTAAATATCAGTTTGAAGAAAATATATTTATTTTTTTACAAATAACCCATATTTTTCAATGGACTGTAGCCTCACCTGTAGTCCTCATTGACCATCAGTGTGGTGGCGGCCCAACCAGGGGTAAAGGGGTTGGGCAACAAGCTGCTGGTGGGCACCACGGTTGGAGCAACAGAGGGTGGCACCGGTGTCAGAGGCGTGATCGACGCCCCACTGACAGTGCTGTCGTTCCCCATCACCAGCTCTACATTGGTCCGAGCTAAGGAGATGGAGGAGAGAAGGTTGATCACGTTCTCCGATAACCTCCGGCAGTTCCTCGTTGACACCAAGAATGGTTTGCTGCCAGAAAACATCTCCTCCATGGAGGTCAGAGGGCCAGAGACGGAGAGCTGCAGTCCAGTAATTGTGTCTGAAATCTGTGAGAGAGAGGAGACGAAGAACATTATGGGGAGTTATGATAACCCAAAGACAAATGAGCTGATACTTCTAATGCTTAAAAATCCCTAGTGGTTGTTAGAGGAGAAGATAGAGTGCCTCACAGTGCTAATGGCTGGCACTTAAAACATATGGAGCTGATGTTTTTGATAGTGGGGAAAAAAACTGCTCCCAGCAGGAAAGAAATGTCCCTACAACCAGATTTGTATTGATTTGCTAACCTTTTTTTTTCTACCAGAGTTTGCAGATAAACAGTCTGAATCAAGCTTTTTTCCCCTATCTTATCTCTCATACGGCACCAAGCCAATTACAAACGGCACTTATGAAAATGCGCAGAAAGCCTTAAAATGATATTCATCTTTTAATACATTAAACCAATCTCACACTGAAACTTTTAAAGTCTTTTTTTCAACTTCTCTCAAAATCCTCCATGATGTGCTGTGGCAAAATAAATCTGGATGCTCATCCAGCCTCATTTATCACAGTTCTGGTTATTTTCAACTATTTAATTATCGCTCTGACTGTAATTATGGGCGCTTTGGGTGAGAAAGTGTTGTGTTGTCAAAGCAGAATAAAACTGACTATTGTCTTTTTCTCTTCCCCAAGCCTGTAAGTTCCAACACATATCTATATGTGTCCTGTTGTCATCAGATGCATATCCCCTCAGACTATAAAGCATGTAACTTTTTTACACTGATCTATTATCGTTTTAAACCTGTTTCATTTAAAAAAGGTGGAAATAATTTCAGAATGAAGATTTTACTAAAGCTTTCCTTCCTCTGATAATCCTACTAAGTTTAAGTTACCGTAACAGAAAAAGATTGTAAGTTTAAAGAGTGATGTTTGGATATGGGAAGACATGCATCCGAATGTACCGTTCACACAGGTGGGTAAAGTACCCAAAACTTGTACTTAAGTAAGAGTAGCACCACTTCAACATTCCTTTAAAAAATAGTCATCCAAAAAATTGCTCAAATTAAAGTATTACGTAAAAAGGTTACTCAATTGTTGGATAATAACATCACATTTAAAGGTATAGTAGAGGAAGTTCTTTTTCCATGTGGATCATCAAAATAAGTGGTCCTCCTAATTGTGAATCATTCTGGCGATATGTTTACGTAAGGTCAGCTTACGTGCTCGTCCCCATTTTCACTTAGCTGTGGTGAGTCTGACGTAGTGAAATAACTGCTAATTTTCTTTTGTAAAGTAAGCTTGTATGAGGGATACAAAAAGCAACTTTTAAACAGAGTGTGCACGAGGAGAAATGGGCTCGTGCATGCTTTCGTACGTATTTAACAGGCGTTCCATCTCGGGAGCGGGTACAGGGTTGTGCATGTGCTTTTTTGTTGATCTAGAAAGCGCAACTATTTTCAAAAAAATGCTAAAATTGCCCACCATACTTTTAATGTTTAGAAATTATGCAAACAGACAGTCTTAATGCACAAGTTCAGGTATTTTAAGGACTCAAATGCATAAAGAATATGTCATGAATTTTAAAGAACAACAGAGCAGAAGAAACACTTTTACAAAAAAAACTTTTTCCACATAAAACTTAAAAAAACAATCCTTACAGCGATAATTGTATATATATGTTATGACAGGGTAACAGACTTCCACTGTTAATATCTACTGTCTGCATGTTCACCTGATCTTGGAATAGTTTAAATTACTCACAGAGGACAGAGTGTTAAGAGAAGGTATTTCTATAGTTCATAGTGTGACATGAGTCAATATATAAATACCTTGAATTCACATCCAGTCTGTCTAAACTTTCAGAATTTGTATAAAGAATAATGAGCACTTATTCCATACAAGAGATGTGTAAAGATATATATATATGGCATATTACAGTATATTGCCACATTTTCCATTTTTTTTAATAATAAAAAAGTTCTTCTGTTAAGTTTTTTTCCCACCACATTTTTTTACTATTTTCTAATTCTCAGGCTTATGAAATTCCAACAAGGGAGGTTTGTAGAGAAATGTTATGAAGTTCCGGAGATACAAATAATGCTAGGCACCCCATCAATCAAGCATTCACAAGTTTGTTAAAGGACTTTCATTTACATATCTGAACAGATGAATACTTTATGATTTTTTTTTTTTAGGTCTGGAACAAATTGCCCGAGGCAGGAAAAAGGCTTGGTTGAGGGGGCTGCAGAGCTCACACATCCATGAAGTGATAAAAGGTCATCTTACTGTAAGAACAAAAACCACTCTTTATGAAATATCATACATCATCCTGCAAAAATAATGGTGAAGCTTTTGAATTTCATGACGCACATAGATATATATGAAAGAATAAAAATCAGATTTGTGTTAGTGTAACTCCCCCAACCGCCTCTGCCGTCACTCCACCGCACTGTTCTCCTGACCTGTGTCATGCATGGAGTGCATGTATGACATTTAGCTGTCTGACTCAAACAACACTGCCAGACCACAGTGGAGATCTATAAGTTTGCATCTGCATCTCTTCCTCTGTGGGCATAACCACATGTGAGCAGGAAAACATTTTGTCCCTCCCTCCCGCACAAACAAAAAAACAAACAACCCGACAGCATCAAGCAGCACAGACATACACCCTGCATGACATTATCCTGGCGGGGAAGCAGCACTCACCAGCAGATCGATGGAAGCAAGCGTGTAATTGGCTGTGAGAAGAGACGAGGTCAACTGATACATCCCATCGTTAGCCTCGCTGTTGCCATAGAAACCGATGCCTATGGCAACACTGTAAAAAGGGGGGGGGGGTGAAAAAAAAAAAGCATGAGAACACTGTCGGTGAATGTGTAACAGCCATAAAGCAGTAAAAGCACATAAATGTTATGTTTAATTCAATGTGTACATTTTAAATGAATGCGACACAAGTAAGATGTGAAGTGCTTTGGATGAGCATACCAAGATTCAAGCAAAGGGAAAGAAATAAACGGATGACTGCAGGAACAAAATGAGGAATCTGCATCTTAGCAGTTAACGCTTAAGCTCCAGGGAAAAGGGGGGAAAATATTCCAAAAATAAAACACAGAGACGTGTTTACACATTTCTCTGTTATTCGGATATTCAGATTAAGGCCCAGGCCAGATGTTCATCAAATCCCCTCAAACCCAGGAGAAATGGTATGACCCAATCTCCCACAAAGTATGTGACCCAGATTAGAAAGCAAGCGGGGGAAAATGGTGGAATGTGTGTTTTTCATCTCAGCCTGGCATAAGTAAACCAATGCTGCTACAACCGAGTTAAGGCCACAATCTGAGGCCTTATAATAAGCATATTGCACATTATATTTGCTATTTATGCATGGAGACCTTTCATTCTGAGCATCAGTGAGGATGAGATCTAATCTTTCATTGCAGCCCATGAGGGGCAGACATGAACCACTCTATCAAAATGCAGTCTGTAAATGAAGATAAAATTATGGCAGCTAAAATCCAATCTGCTGCAAACTACATCCTACATTACAGCAATACGTTCTGAACTCATATAAAGGTGCAGGAAGTGGAACATAATGAGTATTAAAAGCATTAATGTGCACTTTGATTTTCTTGTGCTACACAGATGGATACAGCTTTAGATGCACAACCAAGCTTCCCCTGAGTGACTCATTCTTCCATTATACAAGAGCTGCGTGTTGGACAGATGTCAAGCAGCGTTTCTGAGCACTGTACAGTAACCACAATCTGCAGATCATTTGTGAGCACTGTACGTTAACCACAATGTGCAGACTCAATGAAAGCACAGTCGGCGGGGACTTGCTGGTTGGGAAAGGACCAGCTGTTTGTGCACTGGGGAAGCTCCGCACACGTAATTCTGTTATTGGCAGCGGTTTGGAAAAAGGAAAATAACATGACTGTTGGGAAAAGTGAAAACCACATCAGGATGGAGATGATGATGATGGGCTACTGGTGATTTACAGATGGATCTTAGAACATTTAATGCTTAGTTCAATCTCATCACCTTAATACATCTGAGCATCATGCTTTTTGGGGGGATTTTCTCATTTTGTGCTCTGTCATGATGATCAAACAGAGAATTAAGACAGAATGATGCTTAAAATGACTCTCCTATGACTCATCGACAGTATTTTTTTAGAAAATAAGTTGACACAATTCAGGTTAGTCTTTTAGAGCCAGCTTAGCACTAATGCGCTGAGGTACTTCGATGCTGACTTCAATTTTTAGACAATGTGGCAGCATCTAAGTCTAAATGTTGCTGTTAGCTTATACGCAGCAATGCAGAAGAACAGCCAGACATTGCGGTAACATTATAAGCAATTTCCAGCCACTAAAGATGAGCTGTCCCTGGTTTATTGCATCTTCATTTCCTCTTTTGTTCTGGTCCAACACATCCCCAGTTAAATGTTTGTAATCAACATTGGGATTAGCATTAGAGGAAAAACGCTAACCAACGTGGCCCTTGGTGAAAAAGTAATGTAATTAATCAACAATCTTTTAAAAAGCTTAATTCAGTTTCACAAATTACTGTCAGACTTGTACAATCAAGAAATCCCTTAAGTAGGACCTGTCTGACAACACGAAGTAAAGAGCTAGGGAACACAGTATTCCTGAATGTAAAGACATTTAGGGAATAAATAAGCAAGATAGGAGCTCCATCATATTACCTAGGGTATCTATGGAACCACCCCAGGGAACTATGGGTATGGGAACCATTACCCACTAACTGAGAAAGCATGGAAATGTAACAATACTTCCTAGCAGTGGCTGGCAGACCAAGTTTACTCCAGGAGAGGAAGGAAAACTAGTCCAGCAGGTAACAAAAGAAGCCAAAAAACACATCCTAAGCAGGCCAGACATGGATTGGCTTTCATTAAGGTAAGATTCAATAATTCATCAAGGAGAAATTGACTGTTTTGAACTGGCCTCCGTAAAATACTATAAAGCAAAAACACCACATGGTGACCAATATGTACAAAACAGTCTTTTTGTGGGTGGCTATTGCTTGCTGTCTTAGGTACGGGCTGGTTTGAACTGAGATTTTTTTTTGAAAAATTTAATAATTAAAAAAAAATCTTTCAACATTCAGTCAGGTTGTACTATAACATAGCTAATGCACTGGAAACAAAGTCGCTTTAAACCGCGATAAGCCCTTGCTTACATTTTCTTTGCTTATGAACTATTTGATTATCCTTTAATGGGCTTTGGTTAAGGGAGCATAATGTGATCTAAACTGCATTTTTGTTTACAGTGATATTCAGGAATTACATTAAAACTATTTATTAAATTTAGAAGAGTATCATAAGCTCCTCATTATCTTTGTGTTTTACAAAAGTAGGCCCCTATAGCATGAATGCAACTACAACTAAATATTGAAGTACTATTATTGCTTCTCTCTCTAAATATTAAAGATTTTCTTGCAATGGTTTAAATTTGATCACTTTTATCACTAGTGTAGCCTGTATCTCACCAGCACAGCGTGACAGCAGCCACCGCCACCCACGTGACGCAGCATATTCCCCTCCCCTTCTTCCCACTGTAGCCGTGACCCGTGCTCCCGTCTTCATCATCATCTTCCTCCTCCGATCCCTCGCTCCGGTCCCCACGTTGACAGCAGCAATAGTGTATGAGGAAGGAGAGAATCACCAAGAGAGAGATGACAAGAACGATGGCCGACAGACTGGACAAAACCAGTAGAGTCTGTGGGTTAAAAAAAAAGAGAAAAGAGGAAGTGCTTGAGAAGAAAAGATGAGTCAGTGTTTGTTTGAAAAAATAGGTAATTTTAATCCAAATGATCATGAATAAAAACTGGCAATGGATAGTTTCCACAAAACGGGAACTTGAAGAGACTGTTCCATGTTGGTAGGATAACTGCAGATGGTGTTACATAGGATAGGCATGGAGTGCATAGGGACAGCATTTTTGCTATAGTATTGTCAAATACTGGAGTGCACTGGAGAGATATGTTACATGTAGAATTAAAGACAGTTGATGTTAGGATAGATTTATACAAAGAGGACAAATGCAAATTGCAGAAAGCAATAAGTCGACAGGGTGACTTTTGACTGAATGTGGCTGGTATTTGCTTTAATGCTCTTTATCTATTGTCTCAAAATCAAAATGAATGTAAATTTAACATAAAGTAAAAAAATTTTACAAAAATGTAAGAGAAATATTTGCTTTTAGATGTAACAATGAGGCCTCTCTGTTCTTCTTTCTATTGCTTACATGAATTTAGCTTTACATTTTTAAAGCTACATCAGCTTTTATTGACACATTCGAACATATTTATACAGCTAATAACCTGCATTGGTTTGCTCTAACCAGAGCATGGCTTACATGGCTTGTGTTTTCTCTGTGTATTACCGAGCCACGCTCGTCGATGCTTGATGCTTAGAAGCAAAGCTAGCTCACATCAAACTCTTCTGCTTCTTGGTGTGTCATGGAAATTTTTGTTTACCTCAACAATAAGCAACCATTGTGGTTGTTTTAGGTGGAGCGGATCTGCGATTGGGCTCTGTATACCACCATAATGCTGTTGTTTTACTGCAGCCCAGCAGGCGTGGCATTCTGTGGAAACTATGTGTTTGAGATTATTTAATTCTAGTGTTTCTCAGACTGATAACAGCAGAAAATGCTGGTTAAAAATGTGAGATAGCTAAAAGTATGTGTTAAGCAAATATGCAAGGTTTTCTTTTTTTTCACAAAGATAACATTTTTGGTGCAAACTTAAGAAAATTACTTTTCTTCTCTCCTTATTTTGCAGTGTTTTAAGCTCTAAAACCTTAATGGCTCTCTGCAGCACGGTGGGTTTTAATGACACTAAGCCATATCAGACTCTGCTTTTGACCAGGCTCCATGTCACAAAGTCAACATCAATGAAATGCATTTTGCTCCAACATATTGCTTCAACATTATCCTTCATCCATCTGCCTGTCTCTCAACACCTGTTCCTCCACCTACTCCCTCTCTCTCACCTCCCGTTCTCAGACTCCTGTCCCCATCCCATCACTGCTTCCCTCACGTTCTCCCACTCCCGTGCTCCTCTCCCCCACTCTGCTGTCTCATTCTTTCTCTTTTTCTTTCTATCCACACCACTGAATCTCTATTAATAATCTGTGACCTACTTAAATACATTCACTGCCACTCTCTCTGGCTCCTCCCTCTAACTCAGTTCACATTTCCCCTCTCTGCTCAGTTTCCTGCACATAAACCTCCACGCATTACTCATCGCCTCCCTTATCTCTCCCCCTGTCTCCCAGCGCTTTTGGTCTCTTTTGTCTTTCTCTTCTGGAGGATAATTTTTGCTCTTCCTCCCCCAGCCCACCTCCTCTTTATATCACGGAGTAGTCAGCAGTGAAAGCTGCAGCATAAGAGTTGAAGTGTTGCTTTTCTTGCTGCAGAAACACCATCATCAAAACAAAAACAGCTATGAAAGCAATTAACTTTCAATTGATTTACATAGCTCCTGTTTGGACAGTAAAGATAACATGCAATATTTTAGCAAAGAATGAGAATCATAATAACAGCTGGGCAAAAGATGAGTGATATTTGCATGGCTCAACTGCAATGTTCCTTCCTATAATTGAGTCCATTAATAAGCAACAAGTGGTTGCCTCTGCAGGTTGTTACAACATTTAAGCATTTATGGGGCAATTAGGAGAGTCTTGTAGCACAAGTTGCCCATTATCCCACTTGCATGTACTAAAATAAACCCCTATCCAGAAACATGAATCACATTGTTATGATTAGGTGCCACGAAATGTTACAAGGTGGTTTTGGTAAGAATCCTTTACCTGCTGGTACTCCCAGCTGTCGGGGGCGAAGATGTTGTCCCTCATCTGCATGCTGAGGTCCAGTCGGGGCAAGGCGTGACACATTCTCACCCATATTGAAGGAGAATAACTGGGCACTGTGATCATGGCGGCCATTTTCCTCTGCCAGCGTTTCCCTCCTCCAACCTGCATGAGGTCAGATGAAAGAGGATGTAAAGTAGGAAATAAAATGATGGAGAAATGGGGCAAGCAGGTAGGTTGCATTATGTAATGTAATGTAAATCCTTTTATGGTCTCTCAATGGGGAAATTCACTATATGCATTTGCCCAATCTTCTCGGGGAGCAGCGGGCTGCCATTGTTTGGCACCCAGGGAGCAGCATAGGTTAGGGGTTTTGCTCAGAAACCCAGAGTGGAGGCTGTGGGGATCGAACTGTGTACTTGCAACCTTCTCAGAGCACAAGCAGCACTGCTCTAACCACTACGCCAACACTACTCAGAAAGAGTTCAAGTTCATGAGTTCAAAGCTGCAAAGATGACAGCTTAGGGTCTCAGAATCCTTCTATCAACTGGACTGACTAATGACTGTCAGTGTGCTTTAAAGTAGAGACTTAGATGTGACTGAGAATTCTGGACTTCTGGACTTGGGTTTAAGATAAATTAGTGTTTTTAAACTCTTTGTTCCAAGTGCACACTACCCTGCACATTTTTTACCTTTTCCTTGGGTACAAAGAACAACTTTAAAGGCTTGTCATCAATTTCTGCAGAGGGCTGCTAATTATTCATGAAATGAAATCCAGGGGTGTTAAAGGACTGAAAGATGCAAGGTACATACATAATAAAGAACTGCTACAAATGGTTGAGGTATCAATGTTTAAATACTGTTGGTGCAAGTAGCATCCATCTTGAATGCAGAGGTCAGGTACCAATCATTTGCACTGACTCATAATGTTGACTTTGAGGGACGTTACAGTTGGGAATTTTATGAGTTGAAAGATTGGTAAAAACGAACACACCTTAAATAACATAAATCGTAAAAAAAAAAACTTTCATAATGCAAGGCCAACTGAAAGTAGTTCATGTCAATTCAAGATGCTAAACTGCAAACATTTTCTTTTTTTTATTTCCTTTGAAATAAAAGTAATCCTGGCTTTACAATAAATTCTCTTTTATACTAACAGAGCCTTATCATTATCTTTTGAAAAAGATTAAAGGAGTTTAACTTCTAGAATTTCGATCTGGCCAGTAAAGTGGAAGAGAGAGTTTTTAAATCAACATGGAAAAGCTACAACTGCAAAACTATGGGCCCATTTCAAACCTTCATGAGTAAGATTATTTTAAGCCTTCTATCAAAGAATAACTATTTTCTTTATAATGACAAGCTGCTAAAAAAAAACATAAGTGACGTTAACTACTCAGACAACACACAGCTCTACATTACTATGTCATTATGTAACTATGAACTTATTCAAGTCCTCAGTAAAGGCATAAGTATATCAATGCTTGGAATTCAATTGCTTCAGCTGAATAAAAAAAAACAACTCAGGTAAAAATGTTTGAAACTAAGACAATTAAAAGCTAAAGAACAACTTAGGAATATTTTCATGTTTAATAGTTTTAAACTTATATCCTAGAGGGCTTGTAGTTAGTTGTGCCCCTTTCCCATATGCAGAGCTCTGCCAATGAGCTCATGCCGGAGTCAGGTGTGTTGAGGCAGAGCTTTATTTAAGAGTTGCTGGACATCATGGAGTTTGGGAGCCCTGTGATAGTCTCAGCAGTATCTTGACAAAACAAATCAAAATGTTTATCTTTAGTCGTATTAATTAATGCAACAGTTTCTTCACAGGTCTGTCTAAAAGGTCATCCAGTTATTTGCAGTTGATCTATTCCTAACTAAAAGCAGATCACCTCTGTTCTAAAGTCTTTACAGTCCTGACACTAACTCCCTGTATTTTCAAAAACTTCTGTTGGTCTTTAAATCACTGAATGACTTACTACCAAAACAAATTACAGACTGGTTGACAATGCATCGACTACTCAGACCTCTCAGATCTTGTTCTGTCTATCCTGCATACCCAGAACTAAACACCAAGGAGGAGCTTTTACTTCTTACCCTCCAATAAACTGGAGCAAAATCCCAGAAAATTGTAAAAGTGCTGAAAGAGAAACTTTCTATTAAAGTTTTTAAAAAAACACAAACTATTTGATTAGAGACACCTTTGAAAGTTGTATTTAAACTGTTCAATGAAACTTCATTTTAAGTTTGTAGTTCAGGTATAGTGGAGGATTTTCACAAAATTTTGAAAAGACCCGCCCTCTCCACCTTAAAAAAAATGCACATGCACCACCCTTTACCTGCTCCCGGGAGGGAACGCTATTAAAAGCGTGCGAGAGCATTCATAAGCTCATTTTCCCCCCGCGCACGCTCTGTTTAAAAGTTGCCATTGCATCGCATCACTTTCCAAAAGAAGATTTGTAATTTTTCCACTGCCTCTTTAACAATGGAGTTCTCTCTGAGCTAATGTGACAGATTGATAGGGTCTGGAGAAGTTGCTGTGACTGTTATGCGGTTTGCATGACTGTTTAGCATAATTGGTTTAGTAGTGGGTCAATGTTGGTCTTGCAAGGCAGGCTCACACACAGACCAGTCTGAGATAAAGAATGGCACCCTAGCCAACATTAAATATTTTCTAAATATCATTTGAACGATTGACTCTATGCTGGTATTTCCTGGAGAATAAAGGAATTGATCCCACTGACTCTCCTCCATACTCCCCTAACCTAAATTAATCTCGCTCTAACTGTCATCTCATTAGTCATGAAGTTGCAGACATGCATATGAGCATTTGTCATGACCTCCTGATCTGGATTTTTGGTCCTGTTCAAGTTTTCACTTTGAGTTCTCAGTTACACTTTGGTTTTTTGTCATTATGTTTTCTTCATTAGTTTTATTTCCATCCATCCATTTTCTTACACGCTTATCCCAAGTGGGGTCGCGAGGGGTGCTGGTGCCTATCTCCAGCTGTCTATGGGCAAAAGGCGTGGTCCACCCTGGACAGGTCGCCCAATCAAGCACAGGGAAACACAGAGACAAACAGGACAAACAACCATTCACGCACACACTCACACCTAAGGGGACTTTAGAGAAGCCATTTAACCTAACAGTCATGTTTTTGGACTGTGGGAGGAAGCCTGTGTTCCCCTTTGTTCTGGTTCCTGTGGTCCCTGGCTGGTTATTTCTGGATTTATTCTTCTGCACCATCTCCAAGAAATCACCCCAGCATCTATCTATGCATTTGGGTCCTCTACAAACCTTTACTCAACTTGACAGCATTTGGTTGCCATACAAACTACTGAGTGTGGTGTATTTTTTTCTAAATACCAATAAACTATCTGGGACATGTTGTGTTCGTGAACTGGGTAGAGTGAGAGATACCTGGTAAAGGCATCACCCTTCTATTGCTTTGAGTAGCTGCAATTACCTTTCAGCAAAGTAGAATATACTGCTACATCAGTTTTTCAGTTTCTCTCAGTAATTTTTGATTAGGTTCTTAGTATATTAGTATGGATATTGAATAATAGTTCTCTTTTCAACTGAGATCTAATGGTTTCAATGAGCAGCAGTGCTTATACACCATTGTTTTGACTGAAATTAAAGGGATTGCAACGGTAAATATTCTTTTTACAATGATAGAGATATGTATCTGTTAAGAATAGGGAAATAAGAGCCTAAGACTTGGTGGGCAATTCATTTGTAGGACCAAGGTCGAGAAAACCTGAGAAAAATTAATGGCAAATATTTACTTGGTGATGATGTGCAGAGATGGACAATCCAGGTCCAGAAAGCGAAAAACTACACACAGAGACAGGAACCAAGCTTTTGAATTTCAGGCTCCACAAACGAGACAGGCACCAATAACCCGGATAACCAAGCAGGGTATTTACTTCCTAAGCCAGGACTGTTCACCCCTCGGGAGGAGATAATTATTGGACAAACTAATAACTTATATAATATACAATATCTGCTAGTGTCTCTCACGCACATTGTTGAGGCCCTGTGTTGAACCAATGACCTGTCCAGGGTCTGGCTAGCCTTTTGCCCATTGACTGCTGGGATTGGCTCCGGTCCCCCTGTTGACCCTGATCAGGATTAACCCAGTAAAGAAAAGAGATGATTGGATGAATTTTATAGATTTAACAGGCGAGATACAATGCAGTCTTTGAATGGTTTTTGACCTCAAATATAAACAGTGCAAGTTGGTACGCAGAACATTAAAGGTCAGAAAAAGGGATCCACTTGACATCCTACAAAGTTCTGCATTCACCATTTCTTCCTAAAGCATCCAATGGTGGGGGTAGCACCACATACAGAGGACAAATTCAGTTAGTCAAAATATACAGAAGAATCCTTATGAATAGAAGGCAGCAACAGAGGGGAAAGGGGCATTGGTGAGGCTGCTCCTATTAGGAGATGATCACAGCTTCACTGTTTTGAACAAACATGTTAGTTAAGCTCATGAGAAGAGAGAACAGGGAGCACTATTTAGAGCTACAGTAAATATATAGAAGGTTACAGGGCTTTAAAACATTCAACTCTGCATCAATAAGATAATGCTGAACTGATGGCCTGTGCTAGATGTAAAATGAAAGAAACAACTCTTTCAATAAAAACAACTTTCCCTTTGCACAATGTTCTGCTTTATTTATGTCGCTATTGATTCCTTGCAGAGTGGCGGCTCAGACTAGTGTAAACCCCCGCAGGTTCGATACAGTGCATGGTGAAAGTTTTGATTCTGCCATGCGACACATTCAACAATGCTCCAAACAGCGTCACTACTCAGATTTGGATTGGGTTACGGGCTGAGAACAAGTTAACAGATCGCTCACAGGCCAGACAGGGCCGGCTCTAAGCCCATTACTGTAAGCCTGTTCCCCTTAATGGGTCCAGCAGCCCAACTGTCACAAACCACATCACTGCCAGCACTCCATTTGTCTTATTAAAACTGGGCCAAACATGTTGGTTCGAATCACATCACATCCATCCATACATTAGTGGTGTAAACACCTTAGTAACGTGGTGCTTAAACACAATGGATAAATTAATTAGAATATTTAGTTTTAAGCAGTGAAAGAGACATTAAATAAACTATAAGGGGGAAGAAGGTGCAATGATTTGGGGAGTGGCAT